TCATTTAAGGCACTACAGCAGTAACTGGGGTTTGCCAACTTCAGTCTGATTGCAGGACGTGTATTCTTATGCTTTCCTTTCCCACAACCTGAGCCCAAAATCCTTCCCAAAATCCAGCTTAAACCAGCCTAGGATGGTTGGCTGGTTTTAACTGGTCAACCAGCCTGGTTGTAGAGGGGTTTTGCCCACTTCCAGGCTGGTTTCTATTCCAGGCTGGAAAGTGACCCGCTAAAACCATCTAAAACCAGTTTGACCATCCTGGTCAGCTGGTTTTGGCTGAGCTCCCAGTCTGTCCAGCTAAAACCAGCCTGGAAGTGGCCAAAACCCCTCTACAACCAGTCTGGTCAACCAGCTAAAACCAGCCAACCATCCTAGGCTGGTTTAAGCTGGATTTTTCAGCAGGGCAATGATCATACTATCAGTTTACTAAACGTACTGTGGTCCAAAAGGACTAATCTGAATTATGTGTTGTACAAAGATGTTGCAAAAACATAGTTTGGGATGACTTACCTGTCTGATAACCCTCCAAATATAATGGCACCTGTCAACACTCCTCCCATGTAAATGGTCTGGCTCATTTGTTTGAGTGGACGAAGGGTACAAACCAAGTCCCACTAAAATAAAAATTAAAACAATTAATTTTTAAAGTTCACACTTGACATTTACTAGTTGTGCTGGACAGTGTGGTTTAGATCATGACTCAGATATTTTTCTACTAACAAAAGTTTTCATGACCTGTTTGTCAAAAATTATATTTCTGGACATTATACTTCTACGGTTTCTTCTCCTGCACCTTTGATTTCTTACGCAGAAAGAAGATCAATGCATGCTTGTTTCTTGTGTTGAAAGCAGTTGTGTAAACCCAACAACCAACAATCAACCTCAGTTATGCAAACCCAACAATTATCTGGTGTGACCATCATTTGCCTCATGCAGTGTAGCACATCTCCTTCCCATTGAGTCGATCAGGTTATTGATTGTGGCCTGTGGAATGTTGGACCAATACTCTTCAATGGCTTTGCAAAGTTGTTAGATATTGACAGGAACTGGAACTGTTGTATATATTGATCCAGAGCATCCCAAACATGCTCAATGGGTGACATGTTCAGTGAGTATGCTGGTCAGGCAAGAACTGATCTTACAGGAATTACAGGTTCTTGCAACATGAGGTGATGTTTGTTAACGGATGGCACAGCAATGGGCATCTGAATCTTGTCCTGGTGTCTGCCATCAATAACATGCAGCTGTGATCGTTGTCCATAACAGATGCCTGCCCATCCCATAACCCCACTATCACCATGGGCTACTCGATTCACATGTTGATATCAGCAAATCTCTCACCCACACAATGCCATGCTTGTTGTCTGCCATCTATCCAATCAAGTGGGTCAAGACGACAACATTCAGTCAGGTCAAGACCCCAGTGAAGATGGCAAGCATGCAGATGAACATCCATGAGATGGTTTCAGACATTTTGTGCAGAAATACTTTGGTTTTGCAAACCAACTGTTGCAGGGTGGCTGATCTCAAATGTTCTTGGAGGTGAAGATGCTGAATTTGGAGGTTCTTGGGTGGTGTTGTTAGACATGGTATGCGGTTGTGAGGCAGTTTGGATGTACTGCCAAATTTTCTGAAATACCTTTAAAGACAGCTTATGGTAGAGAAATAGGTGTAGACATTCATAAAACACAACAGGTTACTTTGAGGTTGGCATAGTGTTGGGGTAGCTGTACATGTTAATGAAACCCAACAGGTTACTGGGAGGTTGGGTTTTGGGTGGGTGTTGGAGTTGTAGACGTTAAAAAAACTCAACAGGTTACTGGGAGGTTGGGTTTAGGGTGGGTTTTGGAGTTGTAGACGTTAAAAAAACTCAACAGGTTACTGTGAGGCTGGGTTTTGGGTGGGTTTTGTAGTTGTAGACGTTAATAAAACTCAACAGGTTACTGGGAGGTTGGGTTTTGGAGTTGTAGACGTTAATAAAACTCAACAGGTTACTGGGAGGTTGGGTTTTGGAGTTGTAGACGTTAATAAAACTCAACAGGTTACTGGAAGGTTGGGTTTTGGGTGGGATTTGGAGTTGTAGACGTTAATAAAACTCAACAGGTTACTGTGAGGTTGGGTTTAGAGTTGGGGTAGGTGTAGACATTCATCAAACACAACAGGTTACTTTAAGGTTGGGATAGTATTGGGGTAGTTGTACATATTAATACAACTCAACAGGTTACTTTAAGGTTGGGATAGTGTTGAGGTAGTTGTACATGTTAATAAAACCCAACAGGTTACTGGAAGGTTGGGTTTAGGGTGGGTTTTGTAGTTGTAGACGGTAATAAAACACAAGAGGTTACTGTGAGGTTGGGTTTAGAGTTAGGGTAGGTGTAGATGTTAATAAAAGACAACAGGTTACTGTGAGGTTGGGTTTACCCTACTGAAAAATCCAGCTTAAACCAGCCTAGGCTGGTTTAAGCTGCATTTTTCAGCAGGGTTTACACTCACACACAAGCGTACCGTGAAAAAAGCCCAAGCCAACTGCGCTCACCTCTTCAAACCAGGCCAGGGCCAGCCAAGTGAACCGTGCTTGAGCCCGATTCAGCGCACTCACACTTCTCAAACGATCCGGGAAACGGGCCTGGGCACGGTTTCGGATAGCATGTGAGTACACCCTGAGTGCAGGTCGTCAGAGGGAGAAGGGAGGGGGGACAAGCGTGCTTTGGCCTGGTTCAAGGCAACTGTACATAGTGTGAGTACGGCCTAAATTAATGACATAATTTTCATTTTTGGGTGAAGTATCCTGTTAAAAGAGATTTTATTTTTACCATTTCTCCTCCACGTCATCAATGGTGTCGGGCAGGGGGATGTTGAGCGTTTCAGGGAGCAAAAATGCTATTAAACCAGCGATGACAGCTGATCCTCCGTATACTATGCTAGGCAGAGCTGGCAGGATATCGTCCAAGATCAGAACAGCAGGTGCAGCCATGGATCCTATTCTGGACATGGTAGAGACAAAGCCCATACCAGTCTGCCTGTGGGACAAACATAAAGACCAGAGGAAAAGCAAAGTCAAACTACATTTTGGGACATTTAGCCCTTTTGAAACCCTTTTTCCTGATCTTTCTGAATTAAATTCAATTATTTAAATTACTTCATCCAATCAGCTCACAGTGAAAAAAAACAAGCATCACAAATACTCCAGAAGACCTACTGGAACCAGCATGGACCCAAGATCCTTACATAAATCAGTCAAATTTGGTGAAGGAAAACTCATGGTTTAGGGTTCATTCAGTATGGGGGCGTGCGAGAGATCTGCAACATTAACAGCCTGAGGTGTCAAGACATTTGTGCTGCCCATTACATTACAAACCACAGGAGAGGGACAATTCTCCAGCAGGATAGCGCTCCTGCTCATACTTCAGCCTCCACATCAAAGCTCCTGAAAGCAAAGAAGGTCAAGCTGCTCCAGGATTGGCCAGCCCAGTCATCAGACATGAACATTATTGAGATGTCTAGGGTAAGATAAAGGAGGAGGCATTGAAAATGAACACAAAGACTCTTGATGAACTCTGGGAGTCCTGCACGGATTTCTTTGGTATTCCAGATGACTTTATTAATCAGTGATTTGAGTCATGTCAGAGATGTATGGATGCAGTCCTCCAAGCTCATGATGGAGTCAGACACAATATTCATTCTGTCTCCACTGCAGCAGGACTTTATATTCTATACTGGACATTATTTCTGTTCAGTGATGAGACTTTAGTCTAAGCAGAGTCAGACCGCACTGTCCTAATTAAATCATTCAAAAGCAAGGCATGATCATATTTTATTTTGGTCAATAAGCGTAATCAAGAAGCCTTTGCCTTTCATATAAGCCACTTCTGATATTAAATGATCAACTAGAAGTCAACTTAATATTTCTTGTTCCTAAACCTTGGATAGGCAACAAGATATTGTCAGGTAGTGTAAAGTCTGTGTGTACATTTGATTGAAATCACTCATTAGAAATTAATTATGTTTAGAAATGTGTTACAAAAATCTCTCTGTTAAACAGATATTGGGGAGAAAAATGTACAGGGGGCTAATAATTCAGGAGGGCTCATAATTCTGACTTCAACTGCATGTCAAAAGTTTAAAAACCGGAACAAAAACTGAGCTGAAAGATGCTTAAAAATAGTCTTGCATTTGGCAACAACCTTTCAGTTTGATTTCACGACCTCAAATCTTGTTTCTCCACTTTTTAACTCCAAGTTAACTTTCAGATTCACCTCGTTTATTGAGTGCAACACTTAAAATGTTGTCACCACCTGATGCCTAGTCACCACCTATTGTTCTTCCTTACAGATGTACATTAGAATTAGAACGAGGAAGATCTGGGCCACTTCCTTTTCTTTGTCACTTAAACAATAAAAAAGCTTTTCTGAAGACGAGCTTGAGGCATGACAAGCATGAGTACTAGATGTTACTGTAAATGTCTCAACTCTGTGTGAATGCGGCTTAATGAAGTACTGAAAAACAGGAATGACCACAATGGTTTGCTGTCAGGGATAATGGGTGATAGCGCTGTATTTCACAACTGAATTGATGACGCATTGTTAAGAAAACTGGTGTGTTATCAGCACCATGTCCTATGGTGGCTGACTCGAGAGCATGAATACCTTGAGCACCCTCTGGTGGTGTGAAAATGCTTTACATTGATAGTTTTCAGTAATGTGACATGTGCAGAGACCTGGCAGGCAAAAAACAACGGGCCATAATGGCAGCTACACTCTGATCTTCAGGCAGCACAATCATATTCCCGTCTGTTTCTAGCTACGAATGTTTGGATCACATATCAACAGAACAGAGATATGATCACAAACTGTAAATCGTGGGCACTTATGATCCATATTCTGCACCTACACTCAAAAAAAAAGAAAATTTCTTAACTTGTCCAGACTACTTGATTCTAATGAGCTGAATCAACACAATCCTTGATATTTAATTGGAACAACTTAATTTTTTATGTTCAATCCACATAAATTTGTTAAAAGTGTTAACTCAATCGATTTGTGTTGGGAAAACACAAAGTGAACTTAATATTTTTAGAGTTTTCAGTGTAAACACTCTTTACACTATTTATACTACAAAATGGCGTAGAATAGTGCATAAGTATGCGATTTGGGACGCAGCTAACGTCTTCTAAAGTTTGTGTATTCTGACCTGATGACAGTAGGGTAAAGCTCTCCAGTAAACAAGTAGACACAGGTGAAGGAGGCGGATGTGAATCCCTTTCCAAGAACGGCCAGTGCTGTCCTTGTGACCTGCATATCTGCAATGACAAACAGGTCAGTGATAGGAAGGTCAGATACTTTTACTGACCCTCATTCGGCAAAATGAATAAATCTTTATTTAAAGGGCCATGAAACCCCCTCTTTTCAGCAGGGTGTTTTCACACCTCTACTTTGGAAGAAGCCAGAAAAGTGGGCGTGTCCAGCTCTGTTTAAGGGGGAGTGTCGGAGGAGCAAAAGAGGGATGGTGTGGGAGTGTCTATTTGACCTGAGTGTTAGAGTCAAAACACACACACACACAGGGGAGAAGTGACTGTGTTTATATGGACATCTGTAGTCGAATTATTTGACAAATTATTAAATGGTGGACTTTAACTGCAGTTTGGCTCTTTCATTCAGGGAATTCATTCATGCCCCTCGCGACAAACGAGATATTTGATTCGAGGAACTGCTCTAAGCGTGTATTTTTCATGCAATGTTTGATACCGCACGGCGAATAAGAGAAAAAAAACCTCAGCATTTCCCGGAAACTTAGATGCACACAGCAGGTAGCGTCAGAAAGCCGCGTGCGTTATTCCGGTCACTAAATGCGGTGAAAATCCTACTCGACGGTAATAGTTTGGTTGTGGTGCTAAAATGTTTACACTCGGTCCAATAGTTAGTTTGATATGAACAAACGGAATAAACAAAGAGCACTGGTCACTTACCAAATCTGTAGAGACAGGACAATCATTAGCAACTAGAACCCTGTCTTTATTAAGAGGAGACGAGCAGCGAATCCGGATCTCCATTTAAAGAAGAGAAAAGGTCTCGGGTAAACAATGTTCCTTAGACACGTAAGTTTTTGGTGTCGCGTCACATACACTGTAATCCACGTGTGATTCCAGCTGCGCTCTCACAGACAGAAAATAAAAACAAAACTTCACTTCAGCAAATTAGGAAAGCAACACTGAACGCTTGTTTTGCCAACACAACGTGGCGTCTCTCTGCCGTCTGAACACTGTAACATTAATGAAGTTGCACAATGGAGCGCGCTGATTGGTTTGAACCAAGCTTTACTCATGCATTAATGCAGCACACTCTGAGTCGTAATACGTTACACCCAGGTACAGTCGCCCAGTCTACATGCTGGAATACACGCTATGATCTCATGACCGTGACGCAGCTTCAAAAATTCGTTTCAAACCGGAAGTACGAATTTGCTCGAAATAACGCAAAAACTACCAATTTACACTTTTTAGTGAAATATAGGTGTCCTAATAGTGTTTTTAGCAGTGTGGGACACATATACGACTGTCAACAGCTCAAAAAATGTGTATTGGTGTTTCGTGACCCTTTAAGGCACTTGTTCATTTGAGTGACGTTAAATCCAATGCATCAAAACATCAAAAGTGGTCACAGAAAAGTTTAAGCCTCCACAACGCAATTCAAAAGCATTATAAATCCGAAAATTCAATACACTGCAGGCTGACATTTAGCCCAAGTCTATCATCACAGATAGTTGTATCGTCAGTGGAATCATTAAGTAATAATCTAACCTTCAGGGACAAAGATGTTAGCAAATATTATAGATGCTGACACCAGGAGACATGCGCCTTGAGTCAAGCGTCGGCCCAGAAAGCTCAGCATCAGAAGAGCCACGAGTTTAGCAGGAAAATCCACCGCCCCGAAGATCACCTGCATCAGATAGATGTTCACCCCGAACTTCTGCAGGTCCATAGCCAGACCGTAATATGCAAAGCTAGTTGAAAACCTGTTAAAAAGAGAACTGAGACTTCAATTATTGATTTTAGCTAGTTACTGTTAATACAGAGTTATACGAAACACTAGAGCTATAACAACCACATAGATTTTTGGGGATTCTGTCAGGACTCATGAATCATGTCATATTATAATAAGAATATAGAAAATTCTTCTTTTTGCGAAGAAACGTTATGTTTCATCTGGGTTTGAACCATTTTAAAGGCTCGTATTGTTATATTTTTGTTGCTGCCTTTAACACTATTGACCATATTTATATATGCTTTTAGATAGGCTCTTAGGCATTAATGGAGTTGCACTGAAATGGCTCAAATTGAACTGGCCTGTTGTCAGTTTGCAACAGTAAATGAAGAGGTTCACATTGATTATTTATTCAACATGCAGTACTGTAGGGGCAGTTCTAGGATTTTTGATCTTAGCTTTTAGAAGTTCTGACAAAATTTGCTGCAATCTGCTTTTTAAAATTATTGACATATAGTGCAGTCAAGCCTGAATGATTTAAACCTCTTGAAGTTACTTTTATTCAACCAGCATGTTTTATTTTTGACCAGAAATGGCACAGGCTTCTTCCAAAATGGGAAGTTCGGATCATTTTACTGACTCGGATCTTTGAGTATTGTTCATCAAAATGAATGAATCTTAAGTAATTTTTAAGTAATTTTTTGTTCATTTGGTTCAATTTGCCAAAATATTATTAAAATTGTACGAATTGCTTCCAAACACATCTACAACTAGCCCAAAAGATTGATTGCAAGACAAATAAGTCATAAATAGAATACTATAAGAAATAAAAAAAATAATGATTCAGTGTTTACCTGCTCTTTTGTCTATGAAGGCATTTTTGTCTCTTCGCTCAGCTCACCTCTTCATGTCTTCAAATGTCAGGGGTTCGTTCATGTTACACTGACAGTCACATATAATCTTAACCAATGCACAGTCTAAGCCGATAGGAGCCATGATCGTTCGTTCATCACGTGACAGAATGACTCAAATCCGAGGACTCGAGAGATGAACGGTTCAATTCTTTTTCCGGCTCTAAACGCGTATGATTGGCCCGTGAGAAAGGAGTGACTCAGACCCGATAGGGGACTCGAGAGGTGAGCGGACCAATTCTTTTTCCAGCTCTAAACGCATATGATTGGCTTCTACCTTTCTGAGATGAACGACTCAAAAGACTTGAAATTAACCATACCACCTGCACAAATGTGCGCACGCGCGGATGAACGAATCACCCCCTGAGAGGACTCGTAGTTCCCGAGTCATATTGAAGATTCGTTCAAAATGAACGAATCGTTTATGAACGACCCATCACTAAGAGGCATCATTGTGAAAACAAACCTATTTCTCAGCTCTTATTTACATTTGAACAATAACCTTAAGTCAGATCTTGTGATGGGGTATGAATAATTTCAGGCTCGATGTTTATTTTTAATTAATAATTTAATAACTCGCTTATTAAAACTTCATGTTAGATTTTACTTAAACAGTACAAACGTATTCTCACCAGACGACCATAAGGCACATGGAGATCTTCCTCATGGTTGGTGTTCTCAGGAGGTCAAACACAGTGTATATGCTCTTACTGGACTGAACCTCTTTCTGCATGTGGGACTCCAGCTCCTAAACATCAGCACACACATCAAGCACATTCACCACCATTCACGCCAAGCTTGGGGTCAGTGCTTATTTATTTATAATGTTTTTTTTAGCATGGGTGCAAACCCCATCCCTAGCCCAACCCATCATTGGTGGAATGAATATGAATGACACTAAATCTAAAAGTTGCTAATAGCTGTGAGATTGCATCAGGAAAAAATGGGTTAGTGATACTGATATTTTGGCTTTGCTATCATGAGAACAAAGATAATTTTAGGAATCTGACCCCAAACTTTATAAACATGTTGTCAATAACAGACATGAATTGATGTGAAACCTCTAAAGTGATCTTCTCTGTCATCTCAGGCTTGCCGTTAATTTTAGCTACGCGGTGGAGAAGCTTCAGCGCCTCTTCAGATCGACCATTCAACACCAGCCAGCGGGCCGATTCAGAGAACCACCTGTGACAGAAACATTACTGCAGTTAACTTTAAATCTTTGCAATGCCTTTGTTTGAATCCACCTAATTATCTCATGGACGTTTTAAACTTTGACACTTTTAGAAATGCAGAAACAGGGCTCGAAATGAACCTTTTTGCTTGGTAGCACCGGTGCTCCTAACTTTAAAAATTTAGTGGCACCCACCAATTATGAGCACCGTTACTACAAGTTTTATACAAACATATTTATTGTATTTGAAATCAACACTAATCAAACTACCAAGCAAAAAAAAAATTAATACATATATGCAAGCGTGAGGAAAATATGTCTCAACGAAATCCCGTTACCACGAGAAAATACATTTTTATACCATAACTGAGTAACCAAAGCATACACGGAGCGCTCACCGGCGCAGCACGCACTGCTTGAATGAATCTGTTAACGATATAACTGTGCTGTTCTCACAAGTGCTGTCTGATATTGCACTGATGATTTTGACACATACTGTACCTTATTATATGCATACATGTTAATAGCAATACTATTTTTTTTTAGGAGTAGCGATGTTAGTTTACTCAGTGTAAGCCCGTTTGCGATGGTGTACGTGGTGTTCAATTTAACATATAGCTGCCCCTTGCATGGCATGAAGGATTAAACAGAAGCTCTCGTGCTAGATGTGGCAAACAGTTACCTAATAAATTCCTTCCCACAGACTTTTCATAGCAAACTTGAAGCCAATGGAAGTCTTCTACTCTTGGAAAAGTGTAGATGGTGGATTAACATTCAGCCCATGATCACTAGTAAAATGTGTCATTATTTGTAACTAGATGGTTTCTAAAACTAAATCTGTCAGTGTTATCTTCATTCTCCTCTTCAGCGCTTTACTATTTTTCGCGGTAGTAGCTCTCTCTGTCATCCGAAGCCAGAATGCGAATGTAATTGACAGCTGATATTAACCAATCATTCGCGTTCAGTGCTAGAGCAGTGGTGGGCCAATAAGAAGAGCGCGAAGGCGGGGCAAGCATTACGGACTTGGATTTGTTTACTGCAGCAAGTTGACATGACAACTGTTTTAAACCACTCCTGAGCGCTGCGTTTCACGTTTCAAGCGTAGACAAAGAGCTCAGAGATGCATTCTGCGAGAATGTCTCCCGAATCAGCGCATGTGGTGAACATTTTGCAGTAAAAACTGGTCGCACACAACAATTTTAAGCACTCGCAGAAATGCTCCCAAATATATTTTAAGGTCGCATAGATAAAATTTCGGGCGCATATGCGATCAAAATGGTCGCAATTTCGAGCCCTGCAGAAACAATTACTTTCAAAAGAATGAAGAGTCATTTGAAGAATTCCTCACCAGCTGTACATGAAGAAGATGAAAAACGGAAGGCAGACGGCCATTTGTATTTTGCGCCAGTCCCTTAGACTGTATGCCACTCCAGCTAGAACCATCTGACCGAATGTGAAGAAGAAAGATGATAAGGTGCCCACCAGAGTCCGAGTCTTAGTGGGAATCCACTCCACCTCTGACAAAACAAACAATTCAGGTCACCTTTATTTAAACTTTAATCTCTGATATAGAACAGCTCTGCAGGACGTCATTATTCAGATCAGTTTACTTTAATGTTGATTCAGATCAGTTCAATAACTTCCAATGTTCAATAACTTCCAATGTTCTGCAGTTTATCACAATCCTATGTTAAATAACGGTGAAGTAGGACACTCACTGAGGGAGACAGCATTGAGAATGACTCCAGAAACTGACATTCCTGTCAGGAATCTGAAGATGCAGTAGACCACATAAGACGGAGCGAGAGCTGTGAATGAGCCCAAGAGTGCGAGCTGGAAATATGACCAAATCAACAAGGCCTTTCGGCCAAACCTACATGAGAATACAAAAACACAATTAACAGACTCTGAAATGTCCTTCACCAGTTGGAAATAGTACGGCAAGGTTTTTGCAAGTCATTATGATTGTGGTTCGCAGTACAGATTATTCCAATGCCAATCAGAAGAGCAAGGAAGCTTTAATACCTACATTTCAGCAATGAATGCAAGTTCAAAAGAAAGAATAAGACCCTAAGATATAGAATGTGTTGAAGTTTAAAATGACAAAAAGTCTACAACAGGGGTGCCCAAAATTGGTCCTGGGTGACCAGAGTCCTGCATAGTTTAGATGTAGCTCTAAACCTAATCAAACACAGCTGATGCAACTTATCAAGGTGTTCAAGACTTTTTTGAGTTCCAGCACCTCCAGGAATCGAGTTTAAGACCTATGGTTTAGACCCAACCCCAATCAGACACACATGGGCTAGCAAATCAAGCTCTTAGTTGGCTTGCTAGAATTGTCCTGACAGGTGTGCTGAGCCAAGTTAGAGCAGGATACCGACCAGCCCTCCAGGACCAAGTTTGGGCACCCCTAGTCTATTAGATACACATGTAAACCTGAACGGGAAAATAATACTACACCATGGTGTCAATGATATGGAATCAGTTTTGCCTGTGTCTATATTTGTAAACTGAGTGGTCAGTTCATGAATAGTCAGGGGGCCAAAGCAACAGTTTCTATATCTTGAGTTGGACTTCCATAATTAGCCCAGCACCAGAGACACAAGAACTTTCCTGATGGGACTTACTCAAGAAGGCAAATGCCTACAGATATAAACATATCTACAAATCCCTACATATACACTTTACAGATCCCTGTACATTATGGGTCGTTGTTCAGTGGCCAACTTCCGACTCATTTAAGGCACTACAGCAGTAACTGGGGTTTGCCAACTTCAGTCTGATTGCAGGACGTGTATTCTTATGCTTTCCTTTCCCACAACCTGAGCCCAAAATCCTTCCCAAAATCCAGCTTAAACCAGCCTAGGATG